CCCGGGCGGACCCCGGGCGCCCGCTGTGCGAGAAACTCGCGAGTTTGGAGTAACCTGTGGGTTCCATAGATCATCGCTGGGCCTTGACCCGTGGAGACGTTGAAGCTGCTCGACCCCTGCCCCTTCCCTGGCGCTGCCTACTTGCCCGGGTATTGTTATAACATGAGCTTCGGGTTCACTTGCGGGTTCAGTGGCCCTTCTGGGCTCTTGTCACATCATTCCGTCATCCCTCACGATGCAGCTTTACAAACTGTAGGTTTTAACGACTGGAACTCTCTGCAGAGGCGGTTTCTCTTTTAGGAGTTGAGCGTACGTCTAGGGATGCTCTGCCTCGGGATTTCCAACACCTCCGGTAGCGTTTCAGGCCGGGATGTGTTATTTTGCTTGCTGTAGATTCCTTTGGTAGTTTAGGCCTCTCAGAACAGCTTGAACTCCTGAATCACAAAATCGCAGAAGAAATTACAGGCTAAGAATACAATAAAGCTGGCGTGGCTAGGGATCGATGTAATAGTTGGGAGTGATAAAATCTCAGGAGCTGCATCTAAAGGCATTTTACCCTTGTTATGGTAAGGGCCAGCGGACTGCACAGGCGCTCAAGGTAAATTTATGAAGATTAGTTCTGTTCTTAGGAGCAAATAGGGAAAGACTGCGGTACATCCCTCTTACACTCACCCCTCCTCCCACAGGCCAAGAGTTTCCATGATAAAAAGTTACACACTTTGTTCCTTGAAGTTGCTCTCGAATCCCAGACAACCCTTTATCAATCTTGCCTACTTGGTGCCAGCTACTTTGATTGTGGTTGGGTATAAATCACAGTTGCTTCCCTGGACAAGTTTTCCACCTGATAAAGAAGGTGACATTTATTGGCATAGCATTCCTTCTCTTGGTAAGGATTTTCCTTTGCATTTCAGTCTCTTATGTGCCACGGGACAGGGTACATTTGTTCTTCAGGGTGTCATTAAAGAGCTGTTACTTAACTTAAAAAAACTTCTCCCTTTTTCATTTTAAAAAAAGTAGGAAGACTCACTCTTAATTCTTGCCTTTCTTTCCTAGAAGCCAAAATCACATTACAGTATTTTACTCATAGTACTGGTCATGAATACGTTACTTGACCATGTCACCTGCGCTAATGAAAAGCAAGACAAGGTTTTAAGATCAGTAATGTTTAAACTGTCTTGCCGTGCTTGTGCTTCCAATAATAGTTTCCATATATCACTTGCTGTGTAGCAGCTGTGTTCAACAAATCAAATTACATGTGTTGTCTTATTTTAAGCTCACAACAACTAAGGTAGTTATAAGTGAAGAAAGTGAAGTAAAGGAGACTAACTTGCCCAGAATCATGCACTTAGTAAGTAGTGAAATCTGGACTCGTTCTTATCTCAATGGCCAGATGCCAAAAATCATCATGCAGATAATAGAAACACAGCAGACCTGTGGATAAAGTAAGCCTTAATGATATGTTGCCCTCAAATATATGTGTAATTGCTTCTTCATCTTCCATGGGAGATTAGTTTTGGGACTTTCCCAAGGATCAAAATATATGAATGATTGACTCCCTCATAAAACAGCATAGTTGTTGCATATAACCTGTACACATCCTCCTGTGCACTTTAAATCATATTATTTATACCTAATGTAATGTAAATGCTGTGTGAATAATTATACTATACTAAAGAATAACAGGAAAAAAGGATTGTTCACTACAATGTGCAATTCTTTTCCCAATAGTTTCAGTCTGTGCTTGGTTGTATCTGTAGATGTGGAGCCCACAGATACCCAGGGCTATGTTTATATTTCTGTATGTCTAAAATGGCTGTGGAAGGATATACAAGCAACTGGTAATGCCAAAGAGGAGTTTGGGCTAAATACTTTTTCCTAGATAGTGTTTTAGATTGTTAGAGGTTTATTTTAACCTTGCACGTAGACTTGTTTTAAGTACTCTAAGAAAAAATACCTTGTACAATGTTTTATTAAAGATTATTGACCACATTTTACCTATGAAAAAGACTTAAGTGCCTTGTCCAAGATCATGTGGTTCATAAATAGTCCAGCTAAGGTTTAAACTTACTTTTGTCACCAAATCCTGTGCCCTTTCTACAATGCAATGATGCCGTGAACTCCCCAGGAGGTTCAAGAGGAAAAATAAAGTTTATATAGTATGAAGGGAAGGTTAAGGCGATCATTCTATTTTTGAAATTCCTCTTGCTTTGTTGGTGAAAGAAGTATCACGGTGGAAAGGCAAATATCTTAGCATTGTAAAATTAGTTTTGATCTCATGAATTCATGGAAGAGTTCAGTGAACTTGACTTTGAAAACTGCCATGTGAGACTAAGAAGAATCTCATGAGGATGCTGATCCATTAGCAAAGTAGGCATAACTTTGTTTGCAAGCAAGACTTCCAGAAAACTTTGAGAAACAGTGGATTCAAGAATAGCTCAGTCCAAATTTGGGAGCATTGGTTGCTTTTGAAAGTCCCAACAATTGCAGTGGGAAGCCAAGGCTTGTACCATGTCCATTGCCCTGTATTCACAAGGTTTTCTGTTTTTATCAGTCAGTCTGTCACTTCTCGATTGCATGGGCAAAGTTTTTTCAAAGCAAAGTTTGCTCTTCATCCTTCAGCATACCTTCTCCTGTCTAATCATTTTATCAAGGAGTCATGTGAAGCAACTTCTTTACTGTTATCCTAGCTTTACATATAGTTTTTCTTAATGACAAAATAATAATACAAATGACCACTAACACGGCCAGTGGAGAATAAAGTGGAGGTATATCTACTCCCAGCTCTACACATAGCCAGGAAAGTTCTTCACTGGGAAGTAAATAAAGCAGGTCTTTGCACATTGTAGAAACAGGGCCAGTGAGATCAAATGATCATTTCAACAGTTCCCTTGTGGTACAGATGAAACTGCTGACTACAAATGTTCATTTACCTGGGGGCAAATGTACACGTTAACTAGCCTAGTTGTTTATAGCCATGAGTGCTGAAGAGACAGGTGGTGTGCAGTCACTCCCAGTCACTTACCTTGAGCAAGTGGGTGTCATGGTGTACATGTGCGCGCCTTCACTTGCAGGCTGTCATTTATCCCTGCATTTCCGTATTTTCATCTTAAGGTACAATAGTGGTTTACACAGAGAAACGAGGTAGAAAATGCTGACCTGGCCTACATTTACAAATGATAAACTGCAGGCCCACTTTTCCAGCATTGTATTTTTATCATAATGAGGTCAGGAGTATCATGTCTGTGTTCCACTCTACCCCTAGAGAGAAATAAACTACTTTAGTTGCCTGTGAAAGAAGTAAGCTAATACAAGTAAAAGTGCTAGTATTAGGACTTTGAAGTTTTTGTCTTCATTATTCATTTATTTTAAAGTGTACTTGAGTTAAACTAGAGGAATTAATATGTCAGCCAAAACTTATTCCCAACATACAAGGCAGTCAGCATTTGAAACTCCCAAGATAATACTATATGTGAAGAAGGCTTTTATTCAACAAATTCCTTTAACTATTTGTTTCAGTAATTGTAAAAATAAGCTGCATGTAGGCAAAGTGATCCAGTGCTAATGAAAATACTGTAGTTTCAGTGAGTCTGTAGATCAGGTGCGCTCAGAAGCAGTCATCGAGCCTTGTCTAGGCCAGTGGTGGTAAACTTAGGGCTTGAGTGTCTCAGCCGGCTCTTTGTATCATCGAAAGCTCTATCCTAGGTTTGGTATCACTGGTCTCGGCAAAGCATAGCTATAATGTGTATATTTTCTTGCTTTGCTCAATTGTTTCTTTTTTTGCCTTTGTATTGCTTAGATTTTTCCCTTTGTCCCTACTATTTCTGATTTTGGTGGCTTATTTTTAAGATTTCTAATTTAAAAGTTTTGACTTGGTATTTTTTATTTATGCATCCTAAAACTTTATATTTAATTTCTATTTTTACGTCCAACTTGAATGTAGTATGGACTCTGAAAATTAAAAAATTATATCTCAGTAATAAAATAAGACTTTAAAAATTGAATCTGAAAAAAATATCCCTTACTTCAAGTGAACATGAGGAAAGAGAATTTTCTTGTAGATCTGTCAACATTGCAAGTAATTTTCATTTTCAAAACACTAAGCTTTGCATTCATTAGCTTCTGTGTATTGGCTGATAAATTATTGCAGCTACTATAATGGTAACCCAATCGAAGGTTCATGAAGTATTTTCATTATTACAAAAGACCTAACTAACTGTGATTTACCTCAGAGTAACTGTATAAAGTAACTGACTCATCTAGTTTCTTTCGGGTTTGGATAAATTAAGTCAGCACAGATAAAGGAAATATGGCCAAGGTCATAATAGCTGGAAGGGTAGACACAGCGTGCAGAACTTTCTCTTCTGCGGCCCATTGCCTGTACGCAAAATAATATCCTAGAGTACTAAAATGATCAACGTGTTGTTTGCTTTGAAGGAAATTTTAAGAAAAATTATACCTACAACAACCTCCCATTTTTAAAGAATTTCATGAATACATATTTGCACAAAAAGAGCCAGAGATCTTTTTGTGTATCAGGCTGATAATAGGTCATCATCTAGTTATTCTAAAGAATGAGAGAGCAGAGTGAAGGTTTTATATTTTATTTTGAGTATATTATTCATATAATTTACAACTATTTATTTAAAATAAAACTTAAAGACAAAATGATTAGTAGCTGGCAAAGTAGATGAAAAAGCATAATATGTTGTGGGTTTCTGCTAATTAATGTACTTATTTTGTAATTGCTACTTTATATGGCTATAAAGATAATTACAAACTATTTGCTTTTATAATACTGTTGTTCACACCTTTGATGTTCATGTTAGGTCAGGGGTAAAGTCTTCTTTTTTTTCATTGTTTTTTGGGTGAGGAAAATGTGTTATTTTCAGAAACAAAGGTTAAAAAAAAGTATAAGGCAGTGATAGCAAATCTTACAGAGTTTATAGTGATACAGACAGCCCCCTGTAGCACATGTACCACAGGTTTTTAGCACTACTAGTATAAGATGCACATCTGAATTCAAGGTTTATTAATGTATTGTTGCATATCCTTATTTTTAAAATTACAATTCATGTATAAAATATCAGCTTTGATACTATTAGTCACGAAACTGTGCATCTATGTTAAGATGAATTTATGAAGCTTTAACTGATATCCTCATTTGTAAAATTCTGTCCCTTTATCATTATTTGAGCAGTTTGCAGAAAGAATGTAGAGAAAGATCTGTTTTCCCAAAAGAGTTCCCTTTTTTTTTTTTTTTTTCAAAGTCAGCTTATTTTGCTCACCAACTACAAAAGTAAGCAGCTGTGTCTTTAAGGAAACCCAAACCAGGGTTACAGAGTCTTTAGGGAGATGGGAAGACAGCGGCATAGCATCCCCCTTCTTTACTTGGAGCAGTAAGGACTGGCTGTGGGAATGCTGTAAACCTGATGTTATCCATATTCCTATTGTTAAATAAGGAACCTAAAATGCCGGTAAGAGAAAAATTTGTTTAAAACATAAAATCAGGTGCTGCTTGAAAGTATTCCAGATAATACGACCAGGGTCTCCCTCTGAATACATGCTGCTCTCTGTTCACACTAGTTTGCACTAGTTTAATTGATGAGAACCCTCAGAAAATCAATATCTCTATGATGATACCTGGCATGCCATCTAATTTAATAAGTTTATTTACTTACTTAGCATTCCTGCATTGGAAATAAGACACATTGTTCTTACATATCGAATTATATCTTCTGTTTGTGTCTGAGTATCTCAGTAATCTTACTGAGCCATTCTTGGCAAAACTTGGGCAGTATTTTAATAAATTTTCATAATATGAATGAATTTTCTATTGATGTTATTGTTAAAGGGCTTTAAAATTAAGAATGAGTCTTTATTGTGTAAGCACCTTTATGTGTATTTATTAATGTAGACCATAATTTGGTGTACAGGTGCTCCTTCGCTTAGGATGGGGTCGTACCCTTCCCTAAACGTACCTTAAGTTGAAAATGTAAGTAGAAAATGTCGTCCATACGCTGGACCCACAAACATCAGGGCGGCAGCAGTGCAGGGTGTCAGTTGTTCACCCCCGCAGTCGTGAGACCCGCCTCGAGCCGCCCCTCAGTGCCGCTGCCAAGCATCAGGAGACGAAATGGACGCTTAGCAGAAATTACCTGAAGCCTTCATTTACCCTGCAGCCTAGGCCTTTCACGTAAGCCTAAGGAAAGTTGTTTTTTCGCCCTTGGTTTTCGAAAGCATCTTTGGCAAGTAAATAGAAGTGCACAGCACTTTCTCATGAATGATTTAAGTGAATCTTATCTCCTAGTCTCGCTTATGTTGGTCCTTTAAATAATACCTATTGTTAATATGGAATCTTACGTATTGCCTTGCATTTGTTAAAATATTGCTTCTTGTTCGTTCTCCGTTTTAGTGACCGTACTGTTTCGTTCATAGTGATGAGATTGGTCAGCATCTCCTTAAAAGTGAGGAGGCAGTTACAGTACATTTCCGGGTGCAGCCACAGGATGCTATATGTGTGATCTGTAGACCTGAGATCCTGGTTCTGATTCCTGTGGGAACAGGGGTGGGTCACAGAGTGGGTGATTCTTTTTTTTTAAGAAAAAGAAAATAAGAATAACAATAAAACAGTTTCAGAACAGGTTAATAGGACAGTTACAATGCAATGTAATATATTGCGTATTGTTGTCTTCATAGTAGTTATTCAGTGCATAAAATACAGGTGTAATATCTTGTCCGAACAATATTAGCATAAACCTTTCTTTTCAATGAACTAAGAGAAGCCAGCTGTATTATCTTAGCTGTCTTGTGTATAAATACGTTTTTCTTCTGTTTATTCCTTTCCCCTTTCCCCCATCACCGTTCGTCTTTTCTTATGAACAGTTTCTTCCCAATTCACAGTATCTAGTTTACATTTTAGACCCTATTTTACTCATTCAGTTTCTCACACTAGTGAAACAATATGTTTACACATATGGGTCTGATTTATTTCACTTATGAGTTTGGTATCGAGTTGCATCCATGTACCTGTAAAAGTCTTGAGTATATCCTTCTTTATGGCTGAGTAGTTCTCCATTATATAAAGAGAACCACATCTTTTTTATCCATTCCTCAGTTGTGGGACATTTAGATGTTTCCAAGATTTAGCTATTACAAATTGAGCTGCTATAAACATGGGTGTACATATATCACTGTGGTATGATGCTTTTACTTCTTCTGGGAAGATACCCAGAAGGGGAATAGTTGGGTCATATGGGACCTCTAATCCTAGTTTTTTGAGGAATCTCTGCACCAGTTTCCACAGTGGTTGTACCAGTCTACACTCCCACCAGCAGTGGAAAATTTTCCCCACAGCCTGCCAGCATTTGTTAATGGTTGATTTTTTTGATGATAGCCATTTTTTCTGGGGTGAGATAGAATCTCAGTGTTGTTTTAATTTACCTCTCTCAAATGACCAATGATGTTGAACATTTTCTTATGTATTTATTTGCCATTTGTATTTCTTCATCTGAGTATTCATCTCAGATGCCCATTTTGAATTCGGGGGGGTCTGATTTTTTGCAGTTCTTTATATGGTCTAAATATAAGTCCTTTGTCTGAGGGACAACTAGCCATCATTTTTCCCCACTTGGTGGGTTGTCTTTTCATTCTGTTTGTGATGGTTTTTGTTCTACAAAATCTTTTTAATAACGGAAGATCCCACTTGCAGATTCTTTGTAATATTTCCCTTGCAGTCTGGGTTTTGTTCATGAAGTCAGAGTAGACGATTCTTAAGTTGAGACTGGAAGAATCAGTAACTTCACCACCAATCAGGCAAAAGCAGTACTTTGAAAAAAAATGTTCATAATCTAAAGGATCTGAAAAAAATTGGACACAGTACCTGAGGTTTACTTCATCACCTTTTTACCCTCCTCCTGTTTGGTGATCATACCTACCTTCTTACCTTCCTTCCTTCCCTTTAGTAACACTTTCATATTGAGAGTCTCAGGTATTTTTTTGCTCAACAAGAACATCTGTTTTCTTTAACCCTGAGAGTACAATTTTATATCAGTGGACAACAGATGCTAACCATTAAGAGGAATGCTGTAGGTGACAGGCTAACGTCTTTAACGTAGAAACACTTTTTTGACCAGAGTCTGAGTACATCTAAAAGACTGCCATCTGAGATTATTTGTTTAAAGTTTAGAGTCTTTAAACCTCCAGAACAAAGTTGTATATATCATAGATTTCATACTTCAAAATGGTTTTCATTTGTAAATGGTTTCAAACACAAATGTATATATACACACTCCACTTTAATAATAGATGTGTTTTTAAGTGCCTTTTTATCTTCTATTTTGGAAAAACTCAAACATACAAAGGTAAAAAGAGGGGTAAGATGAGCCTTCGTGTACTCAGCATCTCCCCAGCTTTAACCCTCTCCCACCACACACACGCTAAGGAGCCAGTCTTGGGCACCATATCATTGCAGTATTTTTAAGTGGGTATTTGGGGGAGGAAAGAGAACAGGTGACAAAATCATGTGTCCTCCAGGTAGATACTCCATTAGGAAGGTGATAAACACCCTTTGCAGGTTTTTTTTTTTTTTTTTCTAAGCACTTTACCGCAGAAACTTCCTGCTTAATACAGTAAGTGTGTTCATTATTCCTTGAACATACAAATTCCTTCTGTAGGGATTTTTCCCCCATGCTTCTGTCTCTTCATGAAGCCGGCTTGTAACTTTGCCCATCTAAATTGTGCCCTTTAAGGTTTGACTCTGTTCCTGTTTTCTTCTTAAATCTTTTTCCTTTTGAAAACGATATTTGTCCTTGTGACGTAAGCTGCCACTTGTACATTCCACAGCGCGTGGCTGTTGGATTGGCCTGGCATGATTATAACTGCTGCATCCCTCAGCAGTTTCCTCTGTAACAAAAGGGTAATAATAATGTCTACCCCGCATAGGAGATAAATAGTAGAAAACAAGCAGTCAGTGGCTATCAGTAATTGTTTTTAGGTGTAAATTTGTGTAGTGGAGTCATGCCAAATATCTTTTTAAATTCCAGTCCCTAGACTCATTCTTCCAGTTGGTACATACTACACATTTAGTCATTGTGGGCACAAGGAGATTTGCTTTGTATTTCATGAAGTTATAGCTAATACTCTTTCCTAATATATTGTAATCTACTCATATACATGACCTTTGAAAGATAAGCGTTGTGTGATACTGTTGTTTGCCATCTAGAACTGATCAGTCGTTATCACTTAATGCCATAGGTCTGAAATTAAAACCCAGAGCCAGGCTTGGTGGAACATGGCTGTAATCCCAGCACTCTGGAGGCTAAGGCAGGAGGATTATTGTGAGTTCGAGACCATTCTGGGCTACAAAGTGAGCTCAAAGCCAGCCTGAACTGCATAGTGAGACCCTGTCTCAAAAAGACCAAAAATAAAATAAAATAAAA